ACAGAAACGGGAAGGGAAATGGGAAATGGCTGCCATCTTAAGAGAAAGAGAGAGTGAGAAGATAGGAGCAGAAACAGGAAACGGCCGCCATCTTAAAAGAGAGAGAGAGAGAATAGGAGCAGAAACAGGAGCTGAGAATACAGCCAAATCTGGATTTGCTGCTCAGAATTCACTCACCGCTATGGAGTAGTCAGGAACGGGAACCAGTGTCCCGGTTCTCGTTCTGAGTACGAGGGTGATGGAAAAAGACCAGAGCGGAAGGACATCTCCTTGGCACTTTGGCTTTTGGAATGGACAGGGGAAGCTCCTGGACATCTCCATGGAACTTCTAACCTGGAGTGAGGAGGGGCCCTCCTGGCATGGCCGTGACTACGGACAGGAGTGCTCCTGGGAGTAGGTAAAGGTGAGGTTCCGAGCAGCAGATTTAGGCGGCACCAAATATTTTACTTGGTGTCTTTCTTACCGTGTGGCAACCAATGACACCACGGAGGTTGACGGATTTCTGGTTTGGCTTCCGGGTGAGGAGCCACCCCTTCCCAAAAAGGAAAGGAAGAGGGGCTAGGCTCCTCTCGGGTTTCGGCACCAAATGTAAGGTTTGAATGAGGCAACTAAGGTTTGAACGAGGCAACTGAGGCAGTTATTGAAATAAAGAAATTTAATCGGCTCCTGAGTGAGGTTCGGCGGTCGAACACAAGGGGCTGGAGAAGTCACGCTGACTTCCTGGGGCGGGGGGTTTTTATGGCTATGAGGAATGAGCAACAGCTAGGTGCTCTGATTGGCTCCAGGGGAGCAGAATTGGGAAGGGGCGGGCCACCATTGGTTGGCGGGTTGTTGGGCGGGTTTTCCGGTGCAAGAGCCAGCCAGGGTTGCATCAGCCGGAGCCTTCCAGGGGAGCCATGCGGCAGAGCTAGGTGCTGAGTGCAGAGCCTGGTGCCAGATGCAGACTCAGATGCTAAGTGCAGAGGTGAGTGTGTCCAGCCTCCCGGTGAGGCAACTGGCCTTACAATTCCATTTGTGCAGAATAGGCAAATCCAGGCTGTGTGCAGTGGCTCACTCCTGTAATCCCAGCACTTTGGGAGACCTAGACAGGTGGATCACCTGAGGTCAGGAGTTTGAGACCATGAGACCATCCTGGCCAAGATGGTGAAACCCCTCTCTACTAAAAAATATAAAAATTAGCCAGGACCGAGGCCACCGCCGTGCCCTCGCCCACCCGCCAGCCCGCCACTGCTGGCCCCACTCACCGCCTCCGCCGCTGCCGCCCGCCCTTATACTAAAATGCAGCCTCCCGCCCGCTCCTGTGGCCCTCGCTCACCTCACGCTGGCAGTTTTGGGCCTACACCTCCCCTCCCTGTGCCAGCCACCAAAGACTTGACCACATAATGAGCCCAACTCCCCCAAACGCCGCCCGCTGCTCACCATGGATGCCGGTGTGACTGAAAGTGGACTAAATGTGACTCTCACCATTCGGCTTCTTATGCATGTAAAGGAAGTAGGAAGCATCATTGGGAAGAAAGAGGAGTTGGTTAAGAGGATCCGCGAGGAGAGTGAAGGGCGGTTCAATATCCCTGAGGGGAATTGTCCAGAGAGAATCATCACTCTCTCTGGCCCCACCAATGCCATCTTTAAGGCTTTCACTATGATCATTGACAAGCTGGAGGAAGAGATCAACAGCTCCATGACCAAGAGCACTGCAGCCAGAAGGCTCCCGATCACCCTGAGGCTGGTGGTGCCAGCCACCTAGTGCGGCTCCCTGATAGGGAAAGGCGGGTGTAAGATCAAAGAGATCCACAAGAAGAGAGTACAGGGGCGCAGGTCCAGGTGGCAGGGGATATGCTGCCCAACTCCACCAAGTGGGCCATCACCGTCACTGGTGTGCTGCAGTCTGTTACCGAGTGTGTCCAGCAGATCTGCCTGGTCATGCTGGAGACGCTCTCCCAGTCTCCGCAAGGGAGAGTCATGTCCATTCCGTACCAGCCCATGCTGGCCAGCTCCCCAGTCATCTGTGCGGGCAGCCAAGATAGGTGCAGCAGCTACCCCCATGCCACCCATGACCTGGAGGGACCACCTCTAGATGCCTACTCGATTCAAGGACAACACACCATTTCTCCACTTGATCTGGCCAAGCTGAACCAGGTGATAAGACAACAGTCTCACTTTGCCATGATCCACGGCGGGACTGGATTCCCCGGAATTGACTCCAGCTCTCCAGAGGGGAAAGGCTATCGGGCAAGTTTGGATGCATCTACTCAAACCACCCATGAACTCACCATTCCAAATAACTTAATTGGCTGCATAATCGGGCGCCAAGGCGCCAACATTAATGAGATTCACCAGATGTCCGGGGCCCAGATCAAAATTGCCAAGCCAGTGGAAGGCTCCTCTGGTAGGCAGGTTACTATCACTGGCTCTGCTGCCAGTATTAGTCTGGCCCAGTATCTAATCAATGCCAGGCCTTTCTCTGAGAAGGGCATGGGGTGCAGCTGGAACAGTGTAGGTTCCCTCAATAACCCCTTTCTGCTGCTTCCCCATGATCCAACTGTGTAATTTCTGATCAGTGATTCCGGGTTTTAAATAATTTGTAAGTGTTCAGTTTCTACCAACTTTATCATCCACTAAGAATTTAAAAATCACATTCTCTGTTCGGCTGTTAATGCTGGGATCCATATTTAGTTTTATAAGCTTTTCCCTGTTTTTAGTTTTGTTTTGGGTTTTTTGGATAGTGAATTTTATTTCTTGTTTGTTGATAAGAAATGTAAGAATGGAATGTTAATACATTTCAGTTTAGTTCTGTAATGTCAAGAATTTAAGAATTTAAAAAACGGATTGGTTAAAAAAAAAAAATTAGCCGGGTGTGGAAGGCAGAAGTTTCAGTGAATCGCCACTGTGCTCCAGCAGCCTGGGCAACAGGAAGACCCTATATTTTAAAAATAAATAAATAAATAAATAAATAAAAGAACATGCAAATTCATAGAAGCCAAAAGGAGAGTCATGGTTGCCAGTGCTGGAGGTGGGGAGAATCGGGAGTGCCTGCTAACAGTATGAGGTTCCTTTTTGGGTGAGGAAAGTGCACTGGAATTAGGCAGTGGTGGTGTTCGCACAGCCCTGTGGATACACCAGCACCAGTGAGTCGAATACTGTGATGAAGGAATGCTGTTTCTTAGATGGGCACTGAGAACCCGAGGTGGCAGACCGACAGCCTCTACTCCTCTTTCCACATCAACATCTGGGGCTTTCCCTTCTTCCTGCTTCCCAAAGCATCTCCACTCCCAGTTTAATTATGACCATTTCCTAGAGGGCTGCCAACAGGTTTCTTTTCAAAGCAGCTCTGTAGGGTTTGCACTGCTCCTCCCTCTCATACCCAACCCCTAGACCGTTTACTTATTAAACCAATTAAATTAAATGACTCACATTTGCACCCTCGGGCATGAAGCAGGTAAACAGCTCACAAAAGAGTCGCTTGCACTTGAAAGGGCTGGTTTCCCTCCCAGCCCAGCCAACTCCCCTTACCAGTCCCCCAGCGCCCTCCACCCCCAGAGGGTTTCTCACATCACAGTAGGAAGAGGAACAGGGGAAGCTGCCAGCCCTTCCCAACGTGCTTCCTCACCCCCAAGGAAGGCCACACCAACCCCTCAAAAAGGTGACACAATAGCCTTCTTATTCCACTGCTCACAAGGCCAGCAGGCAGCTAGGTCAGCATCACAGAAGTCATCTGGAGCCCTCTTGCCTGCCCTTTGCTGCCACATCTTACCCCTACAGCAGTACCAGCGCTGTTTCTCTGGGTTCCTGTCAACACCTGCTTTGAGCTGGATGCTCTGGAGATACCATGCAGTTAACTAGGTTAGGCAACCTGGACCCATCGCTCCTCTTGCCCGAAAAGGAAAGGAAATGGTCCTGATTATTACTCCAGGCTCTATGACCTGTGAGTTTTCAGTTCAATAAATGTGGACTGAACTCACTCAGCCCTGGAAGGGAACAAAGGTATGCCAAACAAGGACTCAAGGAGGACACAGTGGATCTTGTAGTGGCGAGTGGATAATTCAGTGAAATGTAGCAAGGGATGAAACATGCGGAATTGAGGTGTCCTGGTCTCCTCTCCTTGCTCCCACCACACACAGCACACTTCTCTTCCCTGGTGAGCAGGGCACTGGGTGGGGACACACATTAACAAGGCTGGCAGGATCTTCCCTAGGCCACACTTAGAATAACCCAGCTCTGCTCTCCAAACACCACCTCAGAGGCATCCCTCCTGACAGTCTGGAATCCAGGAGGAAGTGTGATTTGAGTCAGATCCTGTCCTGGAGTGGAACCACATCCTCTTGCCACCCCTACACAGGCATTTCCGCCTTTGTGTATTTATAAGACTCTCTTAAACTAGGTCCCAGCAAATAGGAGCAGAGACCTGATTTAGGTCAATGAAATCAGCACTTGGGAGAGTAAAGACACCCTGAGAGCAAGTTGCTATTTTTTCTCCTAGTCCATATCCGGGTTTCAGTATCATTTAAATCCCCAAGAAAGCCTCCCTCTCTCCCCATTCGGTGTCACTTCCCAAGTTTCTCCTGCCCTGGAAATCTCCCTTTCTCCTGTTCTCTCCAAGTGGATGAGTTTTTTTTTTTTTTTTTGAGACTGAGTCTGGTTCTGTCGCTCAGGCTGGAGTGAGTGTAGTGGCGCAATCTCGGCTCACTGCAACCTCTGCCTCCTGGGTTCAAGAGAATCTTCTGCCTCAGCCTCCTGAGGAGTAGCTGGGACTACAGGCACGTGCCACCAAGCCTGGCTAATTTTTGTATTTTTAGTAGAGCCTGGGTTTTACCATATTGGCCAGGCTAGTAGCAAACTCCCAACCTCCTGATCTGCCCACCTCAGCCTCCCAAAGTGATAGAATTACAGGCGTGAGCTACCACACCCGGCCCCCAGGCAGCTTTCTAATGTTCACTTATGATTAAGCAGTTGCATTTTGCAAAGCACTTCTCAGCTGTTAACAAGCCCATCCATCCCCTCCTAGGAGGGATCTGAGTTCCCAAAGCAGATTAGGGGCAGGGCAAAGGCACAGCAGAAGGTGAGTAGGTGCAGGTGTGCAGCTGTCCTCCACCCCTATCTGCCTCAGACACGTTGCCCATCATCTTTGAAGTGTCGGACGACAGGCAGTGATGGGGAAAGCAGTGTTGCCTGAGTGTGTCTATCATAGATACCTGCTGGGTAAGAAAAACCAGTAGAGTACATCTCCACCTCTCCTAAGTGGGGCACCTTCCCAGCAAGACACTTAAAGGCGTGTGCCTCTGCCCAGGCATGGGTCACATGCTGTCCTGCCAATCTCACAAGGTTGCAAGAGAGGAAAAGACTCTGGTTCCCTGGCTCCCTGCCTCCTTACTGAAAAAGATTGCGTATGGAAGGCCTGCTGGGTCCCTTTGTGGCATGAGACAAAGAGGGTTGTCTAGTTCCCCCTTACTTTGGCTGAAGTCCTAAGTCTGGGAGGGTCAGTTCTCAAAGCAGTATGTTTGTAATCTCTGCTTGGGCAAGAACAGCCTGGAGCTCTGCTGGAAGGGCCTGTGCAAATTAGAGGTCAGAGGGAAAGGTCATAACTGAAGCGTTGAACATGGGGTTTGGGATAGTGGCAAATATTTAAGTGAGGGGAATAAGGCCAATCAGAGGCTGTGCCCAATTCTGGGGGACATCTGCAGAGGAGCACACCTCAGGTGTAATTTAAACATAACAAAGTTGTTTTATCGCTTAAGACAAGGAGTTTGAGGCCAGCCTGAGCAACATAGTAAGAACCTGTCTCTGAAACAAATTTTTAAAAATCAGCCAGGTATGGTGGTGCACACCTGTAGTCCCAGCTACTCGAAAGGCTGAAGTGGGAAGATCGCTTGAGCCTGGGAGTTCACAGCTGCAGTGAGCCATAATTGCATCACTGCATTCCAGCCTGAGTGATGGAGCAAGACTCTGTCTTAAAAAAACAAAAGAAAGTTGTTTCAAATTAGGTACTGGCCCTTCTGAGGTAATGGAGACACTGTGAGGATCTGGAAGCTTTCTCTTCATTAATGATTATGAATTGGATGTACCCCTAGGGATGGCTCTGGGCTGGCAGGGCCAGGGGAAAAGGCAGTAAAAGAAGACACTCTGCCTCCACTGGCTGTGGGACCTTGGGCCAAGTCACTTTTAAGATCTCTTCCGGTTATAATGGATGATGATCAGAAATTTCTTTCAAGGTTAATATCAACGTTCTACTCAAGCACTCCTGACAGGTGTCCGCCAAGCTACTACTGGATTTCCAGGGACAGGAATGTTCCTCATGCCACAGCTGTGGGCCCCATGGCTGGATGGTCCATATTGCTGTCAAGTGCTTTTCTTTTGTAGGACCTCCTAGAATTAGCCCTACCCTTTTATGAGAAAATGCTTCAACCACAGATGCAAACTCTTGTATATAGACACAGAGCTACTTGGTGTAGGGTGTGGGGTGAGGAATGTGGGGTGAAGGTGGGGGGTAAAGGGTAGTCACAACAGCAGTGCCCCAGGCCACTTGTTTCCTTTTCTCCAAGCTCCGTCAGTTCACTTACATCCATGCTCTCTGCTTTCACAGTGTCCAAATTCTAAGACAGCGGAAGCGTCTGTCTAATCCACCAGACAGCACCCAGGTCCAGTGACACTTCCAGACAGGGCTCTGTGCCAAGGACAGTGTAAAATGATGGGGTAGAGCCACTCAACAGAACACTGTGGTGAGTTAAACGGGTGTGGAAGGCCTCACACACTAACCCAGAAAGGTGTTCAAAACATATAGTTATGTGAAAAAAGGTTGCCATATATACTGCAAAAGTGACGCTATCCAAAAAAACCTTAACACTGTCACGGCCAGTAGGAACTTAGGGAGACACGATAACTTTAGAGATCCCGGCACAAAAAAAGTCTATCTAAAAGGGATTCAGGATACAATATGAACTTGAGCTACGTCTGATATTGGTTCATTAATCATGACAAATGTAGCGGGGCTCAATGCATGATGCTAATAATAGAGGAAACTGGGTGTGAGCTATGTGAGAGCTCTTTGGACTACCTTTGCAATGTTGGGCAAATGTAAAACTATTCTGAAATTACAACTTCTTTTCAAAAGGCACTTATGTTTGTAAGTACAGGGGCTTCTATGTATATGTGTATAGGTATCACAGAGGCATAGAAAACATTTAGAAGGCATATTAAATTTTTTATGGTATTTACTTCGGAGAGCACCTTTTAACATTATGTGCCTCTGAATTTTAAAAAATAGAAATAAAAATATTTTTAAGTAGAAAAAAGAGGCCAGGCATGGTGGCTCACTTCTGTAATCCAAGCACTTTGGAGGCCAAGGTGGGCGGATCACCTGAGGTCGGGTGTTCAAGACCAGCCTGACCAACATGGCAAGATCCTGTCTTTATTTAAAAAAATAAAAAATAATTAAAAAAAAAGAGAAAAAAAGAGATGAAAATGAAAATGCATGACACCAGAGGAAAGGGTAAAAGAAAGAAAAATAAAAAATAAAATGAAAATATAGGAAGATAAGAATTTTTAAATTCTGCCATATTTTATTGCTCCCGTGATTGAAAGAGCAGTGGGGTAGGAATCAGGAGATCAAGGTTTTGGTGTTTGTTCTTTCACTCCTTTGTGATCCCGGTGACCTCCTGATCCTTGGTTTTCTTAGTTATAAAATGATGACATTTAGGGACCATTGTAAGTGTTACACTGTATGATTTGATAATAAACACACACAAATGAAAGAACTATTTTCCTGTTGCTAGCAGATCCATCATGGATGCCTGAAATAATAAAGCCCTCCTAATGAATTTAAAACATTTCAGTCCCTAAAGAAAGAAAAAAAATCTGAACTGCACAGAATGTTTCAGGGATATATCTATAGGGATACTGTACCCGTGCTGTTTTAGAGGTTTAAAAAAATGAGAGTGACAAATTGGGTTAAATCTGATTTATAAGAGGAGTATTAACTGATGCTTAACTGGCTCAGATCTATGCAAATGAAAGAAGACAAAAAAAGGTAGATGGAGCTGCAAATGGCAACTCTCCCACTTGTGGCTGATCTAAGGCTCTTCATGGGAGAGAGTTTAAAATCCTTGGTGGGCTCCACAGAGCTTTGTCTCCAGCTCCTCAGTCTCCTCCCCCAACTCCTATCAACTCCAGATGCAGGATAATTTGAGAGGCAGACCTATTCAGACCCCTATCTCTCTGCAGATAGCAATCCTGAGCCCCAGTAACATGAAACAAGGGTCTTCAGGACACCCTTCCCCATGACAATGAAGTGTGGCGGGGAGACAATGCCTCCTGCAGTGGGAACATTCTGAAAACAGACAGGAAAGCGTGAGAAAGGCCAGAAATTGCAAAAGCCAAACCTAAGGATAGGGCAAATTTTCCCGCAGGCAAATCTCAGCAAGCGCCAATTCTTGATTTCTGGTTTTTTCAAAGCAATTCTCCAATCCAAGAAGGATCAGGGTTCAGATGGCTGTGTAGTCGGCCCTTCCTTTCCCCGCTGGGCTTAGGCAGTCCGGGGTTGGAGGCGGCAGTGGGAACAGAGGAAAGGGGGCTGTTGTAAGAGACACTGATGCTGCCGTCAGTTCTCTCCGTGAGGCCGGCCTGGTGGTCACTGTCCCTCTGTTCTTTCACCAGCTGTTAGTTAATTCTAGGAGGAGAGTGAAGCCCCAAGTTGTCTCAAAACAGAGCTACCAAATAAGTAATTAATTCACTCATCGCATAGCATACAACATCCGTTAAAACCTGCAGTGAGGTCGGGTGTGGTGGCTCCGCCCGGCCCAAGAGTCAGGGTTGGGGGGATTGGCGGGTAAAGAGGAGGCTGGATTGTTTCTTTCTTTCTTTCTGTTTTTTTTTTTTTTTTGAGATGAAGTCTGGCTAAGTCGCCCAGGCTGGAGTGCAGTAGTGCGATCTCAGCTCATCACAGCCTCTGCCTCCCGGGTTCAAGCCATTCTCCTGCCTCAGCTGGGACTATAGGCGCAGCCACCAGGCCTGGCTAATTTTTTTTGTATTTTTAGTATAGATGGGGTTTTGCTGTGTTAGCTAGGATGGTCTTTATCTCCTGACCTCATGATCCACCCACCTCGGCCTCCCAGAGTGCTGGGGTTACAGGTGTGAGCCAGCGCTCCTGGCCAGGAGGCTGGATATGAGACACATTTCATAATTGTATAGAGGAGGTGAGAGGACTAGTAGTTTTTATATTTTATATTTTACTTAAATTCCAGTATATAATGTTGGAATTATATGTGGGCTTTTGTTTCCTTTTTTTATATATATAGACAGGGTCTCACTGTTGCCCAGGCTGGAGTGCAGCGACGCAATCTCGGTTCACTGCAGCCTAGACTTCCCAGGCTGAAGTGATCCTCCAGCCTCAGGCTTCACTTTTGTTTCTTCTTAAGCAATGAGCATGTGTTATTTACACTTTTAAGAAGAGGCAGTGGGTGGTCAACAGTGTCAAATGCTGCCAGGTGAGTAGGAGGAGGCTGTTCAGAGATCAGTGGATTGGGGAACTGAGGTCCACCCAGGTTCACAGACCTTAAATGACTTGCTCTGGTCACCAAGGGCTTACCTGTATGGTAGACAGTAAGAAAGGAAGAGCAGGGCTCGGCTGTTAGGAGTGCAGGTGTGGGTGGAGGAGCAAAGCTGACTCTGGGATCTTTCATCCCAGAAGCGACAAGTTCCTTAAAGACGTTAATTCACTGCCCCACACAGCAAGGAGGCGTGAGCAGTGAGCCCGAGGTTCATTTTGCAGGTCAGGAATCTGAGATGCAGACTGGAAAAATGCTTTGTGCAAGAGCCTGTAGAGGATTTGACAACTGATCCGCAGAGAAGTCACAGCTCCCAGGAAACTTGTGCTTTGAGGAGGGAGGTGGCTGTCAACGGAGCGAACAAGAGGCCGTGTGAGTGGCAGCCACGGCCTAGTGGGTGGCGCACAGAGTCGAGATCACGAGGCGTGGTCACTGAGCAGACAGGTGTATCGGTGAGAGAACAGGTATGTAAGGCTGAGGCTGTAAACCAGGAAGGCTGTGGTTATGTGAGTCACTGCACACATGCCCACGTCCCCAGGATCTCCTTGCAGGGAAACATGGTAGAAACATCAGCCGGTGGCTGCAAACCCAAAACCTCCTACTATGGCATCTACTAGGTCCTACTCAACAACTTGTTTAGAGGCTCACACCTGTAATCCCAGTACTTTGGGAGGCCAAGGCAGGAGAATGGCTTGAGCCTCGCAGTTCAAGACCAGCCTAGACAACACAGCAAGAACCTATCTCTACAAAAAATAAACATAAAAAAATTAGCGAGGGTAGTGGCTCACGCCTGTAGTCCTGGCTACTCTGGAGGCTGAGGTGGGAGGATTGCCTGAGCCCAGGAATTAAGAGACTGCAGTGAGCTATGCTCACACTACTGCACTCCAGCTTGGGTGACAGCGAGACACCCAATAAAGACAAAATAAAGAACTTGTTTAAACAAAAAGGAAAAAGTGCTCACATATGTCACTTCTCCTGAAATGACAGCAAGGGTTACTACCCTCTGCAAATCTGTGCTAAGAACGCCACTCACTGCCTTCCAGGTTTAACTTCCCTTGCTTTATGTCTTTCTCTAACATTTCATCTTTCACTCCTGCTTGTTTTTCCTTCCTCTTTCCAATCGCTCTGCACCTGTCTCTTAAGATCGCTCTCAGCCCCGTGTCCCTACACCTCTTCCCTGTCCTCATCATTTGGAACTAGTGCAACACTGGGAGCAGACCCCTAAGGCTGTGATATAATGTTTTACCTCCAAGGTATAATTAGGAGTCAATGAGCACAGCTGCCAGGCAGAAGAAGCGCTTAACTATACAGTTGCTGCAAGTCGGAGCACCTGATGCTGAGGGCTGGAGGATGCTGGGGCACAGGAAGCCCTGTCAGTAGGTGGTCCGCACAAGGTCAGCCAACTGGGTCCATGCCTTGGGGGGATGCAATGGAGAAAACCCTCATAAACAAGTTAATCTGCCTAGCTCAGATCTCCGGCTCCTGGGAGGGCAACCCAATCCTCATTCTGTGTGTCTGGTTTATCCTGAAGCCCGGCAAGAGGCTCAGGCTTGGTCTCCCCTGTCCTGTGCTCCCAGCCTGAGGAGAGGCCTAGAGCCCACCTAGGAGATGGGACAAGGTCTGTGACAGAGGCAGCAGCAAAGGGCAAGGGGAAAGCCCTGCCCCAGCTGGCCCAGGTCCACTCCCAGATTCATATGACTCCATCAAGTCACCCAGGTGGACTGAGTGCCTGACGTTAAGTAGAGCACCAGCTGCAGTGGTTGGTTTCTGTGTGAAGCAGAGGGAGAGGTGACAGACAAGAGAACAGCATGGTTCCCACATTCAGCTCTTAATCAGGATCATCGCAGGGCACTTGGTAAAAACAGCGATTCCTGGACTCCACCCAGACCTACTGAATTATAATTTCGGGGCTTTTGCTTGTTTTTTGAGACAGAGTTTTGATCTTGTTGCCCAAACTGGAGTGCAATGACATGATCTTAGCTCATTGCAACCTCCACCTCTCAGGTTCAAGTGATTCTCCTGCCTCAGCCTCCTGAGTAGCTGGAATTACAGGTGCACACCACCACGCCCAGCTAATTTTTTGTATTTTTAGTAGAAACAGGGTTTCACCATGATAGCCAGGCTGGTCTTGAACTCCTGATCTCAGGTGATCTGCCCGCCTCAGCCTCCCAAAGTGCTGGGACTACAGGCATGAGCCACCATACCCAGCCTAGAATTTCTAATTCTAAATGTAGAGGCATCTATATTTAACAACCTCCCTTGAAACTGGAAAACGGAAGTTGCGGTGAGCCGGGATCGCGCCACTGCACTCCAGCCTGGCGATAGAGCGAGACTCTGTCTCAAAAAAACAAAAAAACAAAAACAAAAAAACCCAACCTCCCTAGGTGAGTATACAACTGCGTGCGATCAACTTTTGGGACCCAGTGGGTCATGTCACTGTGCAATCCCCAGCCTCCCGTTCTCTAACCCCAATTTCTTTTTTTCTTGTTCATTTTTTGAGACAGGGTCTCACCCTATTGTGCAGGCTGGAGGGCAGCGGCATGAACATAGTTCGCTGCAGCCTCAAACTCCTGGCCGGAAGTGATCTTCCCGCCTCAGCCTCCGAAGTAGCTGGGACAACAGGTGTGTGTTACCACATCTGGCTAATCTGATCCCTATTTCTCCAAGCCTTTGTATAAAGATAAGGTACAAAGGATGCTGTTTTCCTGTTTAGAGCATAGAAAATAATAACAGTAGCCTTATCTCAGTTACACAACTTACTTTTCACAACAACCCTGCACATAGATTAGTTGTACTAGTGGTAGTATTCCTCTTTTATGGAGGAAGAAAATAAGCTGAAAGAGATTAAGTAATTTGTCATTAAATAGCCAAGTAAGAAGTGGAGGCAGGATTCAAATTTAGATTTATCCAGGGGTGAGTTCAAAATGCTTAACCAGCACCATAATACAGGCATGGTCCATTGAGAAGGGATGCCAGCCCTGGCCTTGGAGCAGGGTCCTCGAGACCCACTATAGCCAGTCATGGCCCCATTCGTTGCTGGATAGTGTGAAGGCTGGGAGGGTCCCATGTTGGGGCATATTTCAGTATTTCAGCACAAGTGGGATGACTGAAAGGTGTGTACCAGCTGAATGTCGATACTACAAAGCCAAGGTTCTGTCCACTACAGTCATTCTGCTCAGCTCAGTTATCCTGGCTCCAACCACCTGCCACTGTAGCACACCTGTTGTCCCAGCTACTTGGAAGGCAGAGGCAGGAAGATCACTTGAGGCCAAGAGTTTGAGGCTTCAGTGAACTATGTTCATGCCACTGCACTCCAGCCTGCACAATAGAGTGAGACCCTGTCTCAAAAAAAGAACAAAGCTCAGTTATCCTGGCTCCCTCCACCTTAGATTTGATCCTCTCATGAACCTCCTATTGAAACCTGCTTTCAGAACCTTTGCTCAGGTTGATAAATGAGAGAGAACATTTTAAAGAGTTGCTTCTGGCTGGGCATGGTAGCTCATGCCTGTAATCTCAGCACTTTGGGAGGCCAAATTGGGAGGATCGCTTGAGCCCAGAAGTTTGAGGCTGCAGTGAGCTATGATTGCTCCACTGCGCTCCAGCCTGGGTGACAGAGCAAGACCCCAGCTCTTAAAAAACAATTAAAAAATTAAAAATAAATAAAAGTTGCTTTTCCTAAAAGTTTGTTCATCTGCTGGAGATGAAAGCCTTAGGTTAGAAGTCGCAAACTCCCAACTTGAGAGGATGCTGTGCTACCAAACAAGAGCGCAACAGGAGAGTGGCCAGCAGGCCTCAGCAGGAACAGCCCAGGGACGCAGGCTTTGGAAAGGCTGATGATGCTGAAAACAAAAACAAAATCACTTCCTCCTGACCTTAGTTCATTGTGCTTTAGAGAAATTTGAGGTAACATTTAAAACTTGGGAAATTTCATGTAGAACTCCCAATGTCTTGTTTCTCTTGAAAAGTAGGACAAATGGGGCAAAACAGGGCCTATAACCAAATGGAAAGAAAGGGCAGGAGCCAATAAAGTGACCACACCTTTATTCATTCACTTAGCAAATATTTTTTTTTGAGTGCCTACCACGGACTAGCACTGTTCTAGATAGTGAGAACATGGGCTCTCCCCTTGCACCACGGTCCTCATACCTCACACAGAGTATGTGTTTGCACTGATATCTGCTCCATTTACTAAAGCTACCTGCACGACTCTTAAGTTTTTGACTGCCCTAAATTAAATGCACAAAGGTAACAGTGACCACAGCAAGGTAGACAATTTCCATGATTCCACCGCCTCAGCAGCTCAGACTTCCTGAAGGGACAGCATAATCCCTAAATGCCCATCTGTCCTCTCCCAAAACTCTCATCTCAAATTATACATTGTGGGCTCTGGGCTCTGCTAGAATACCCCCCCTAGATTTTGTGCCCTCTCTTTATGCCAAAGCTCCACTGTCCTGTCCCCAGATCCACCAACTTGCCATTCATCATTGGATTTCCCAGTTCTACTGTTCAGCTGACACCATTATGGAGATTCTTTCCAGGGTCGGGCAATGGAAATTGTGAGGCCACAGGCTGCTGGCTTTGGATGCTCCCAGCCCTCTACCATGCACTAGAATGGTGCTCTCCGACCTATGGTTAAAAACCCCTGGCTGCCCAGCAGGCTGGGAGGAGCCTCTTAAACACAGATATGGGAACATCCAAAAAGACAAAGTTATAAATGCTGCTTTCCCTAAGTAAATTCCTCCATCTTCATTTTCCAGGTCTTCTACCACCTAGCGTAACCCCACATATAGCCTTAACTCAGCTTGTCATTCCAATCTGGAACTTTTCTTCCTTCTGTGGTGCCTGTCCCTCCTGCCCCAAGACCATTATCTTACACGTGCAGGGACCCTGGCCTCCCAAAGCTAATAAAAAATACTAGCAATGTGGGTGTGGACAAACACAGGAATCAAAACAAAATAAAATCAGGAAGTCAACTAGAGATGGGGCCACAGATGGAGTTATTTAAATTAACCATGGTCCAGAGGGCATAATTCTAGTGCATGGTAGTGGGTTTGGAGCATCCAAAGCCAGCACACAGTGGCCCCTCAGTCAGGTGCAGCCCAAAGTGTCTGGGCTCTGGGTGACAACCGGACTTGGGTGGACATTGTGGAAAGGTAACTGGGGAGGGATAGCATCTCATTCAAATCACCTCTCAGCGGTAGGGAAAGCCGGCTTCAGAAACAGCACTGAGTCAAAAGAGAAAAACAATCTCTCTTCAGGGGCAACTGTGGGGCACTGCCAAGGTACTAGTAAGCCCAGGAGACAGCACGAAGAACTTGGCAACCGACAGGGCAGCGGAGAGGTGTATGTGTGTATAAACTAGAAGAGTAGAGGAAGATTTGTTTATTGTTTAGTCCTTGAATGGGAAATCTGGGGTGGGTTTGGAAGTTGTGGGCTGGGGGGCATTAGAATAGACTAAGAAATCCAGCGTGTATCATACCCAGGAGGAGACTTTAGGACCACAGTGACTCTAAACAGGCTACGAAGTGCTTAAGGTAAAGGGACAAAACGCTTTCTAGAACGGCTGTGCTACTGAACAAGACAGCAACAGGTGAATGGCCAGAAGGCCTCAGCAAGAACAGCCCAGGGATGCAGGGCTTGGGAACGCTGGTGCTGAAAACAAGACAAAATAACCACCTCCTGACTGACACACAAAGACGGGGAGGTCAAGCATGGCTGAGGAAAAGTGACCACCTGGCCCAGTGCTCAGCAAGAATGAACAAAGCTGGTTCTCCAGAAAGTTAAACAGTTACCATAGGACCCAGCCCTCCTAAGTCTACACCAAAAGGAAAGAAAAACAGATATTCAAACAAATATTTGTACATCAGTGATTATAGCAGCATTATTCACAACTGCCAAAGGTGGAAGCAACCCAAATGTGCATTGACATGAATAGATGTGGTATATCCATACAATGGAATATGATTCAGCCTTAAAAATAAATGAAGGCCAGGAGCAGTGGCTCATGCCTGTAATCCCAGTACTCTCGGCAGCCAAAGTGGGAGGATCTCTTGAGACCAGGAGTTTGAGACCAGCCTGAGCATCACAAGAACCCATCTCTACAAAAAAGTTAAAGTGAGGGAGGCTGAGTCAGGAGGATCCCTTGAGCCTAGGAATTGGAGGCCGCAGTAAGTCATGATCTGTACTGCACTCCAGCCTGGGCGACAGAGCAAGACCCTGTCTCTAAATAAATAAATGAATGAATGAAGTATTAACATGCTACAAGTGGATGAATTTTGAAAACATCATGCTGAGCAAAAGAAGCCAGACATAAGAGTAGGTAAATCCACAGACACAGAAAGCAGATTAGAGGTTGCTGGGATCTGAGGAAAGGAAAAGGAGTGACTGATTAATGGGCATGGGCAGAGTCTCCTTTGGGGGTGATGGAAATATTTTGAAATTAGACAGAGGTGATGGTGGCACAACACTGTATATGTACTAAATGCTACTGAATTGTACACTTTATTATTATTATTATTGAGACAGAGTCTTGCTCTGTCGCCCAGGCTGGAGTGCAGTGATACAATATTGGCTCACTGCAACCTCTACTACCCAGGTTCAAGCAAGTCTCCTGCCTCAGCCTCCTGAGCAGCTGGGATCACAGGCGTGCACCACCATGCCTGGCCAATTTTTATATTTTTAGTTGATACAGGGTTTTGCCATGTTGGCCAGGCTGGTCTTCAACTCCTGACCTCAAGCCATCTGCCTGTCTCAGCCTCCCAAGAGCTGGGACTACATGCATTAGCCACCACTGAATTGTACCCTTTAAAAGGTTAATGTCACATGAATTCCAGCTCAATTTTTTTTAAGAGTAAATGAAGACATCCAGGGAGTCTAGGGAATAAGGCTGCTGGATACCAGA